TTAAAGAAAGCTCCGTGAACCTTACATGGGGCTCCAGTCTTTGACCTGAAGGCTCCACATCATCAACAGTCCTTCAGTATTCAGTGATCCCTGCCCACCCACTGGGCCCAAGTATCCCTTAAGAACTGACCTCAAAGACTTTCACTGTTTCTCCAAGCCATGGATTTAGAATGGTGTAAATCTGCTTAGGATGGAACTGTGTCCTAGTTTCTGTGATTCTCTGGCAAAGGTCAGATAAGGTATATATTGAACTTCAGACTGTCTGCTAGTAAAACATGTCTTTTACCATTAAACTATGGCCATCCTCAAGCAGTGTCCCCTTTGCTGGAATCAAATATGTTGGGGGGGATTTTGCCATCAAGTCAAGCTGATTTCTGGCTACCCTTAGTGGGGCTTGAAGGCAAAGGAGGTGGCTTGCCATCACCTGCCTCCCAATGCTGGTATTCCTTGGAGGTTTCTCATCCAAATACTAGCGAGGACTGGCCCTGCTTACCTTCTGAGATCTGATGAGATCGGGCTTGCCTGGGCGATCCAGGTCAGGGCCAGAATCAAATATATGTTTGACTGAGCAAACATTGGTGTGAATCCAGCCTTCCTCCAAGGAGCCTTCCTCCAACTTACGTGGCTCCTCCATTGAAGAAAGAGACCCTTAAGCTGGGGGGAGGAACCTTAGGATGAAGGAAGGATTCAAACTTTGCTCATTGCAGTGGTAAGATAGTGGTACAGATCCACCCCACAAAGTTAAATATGTCTAAAAACCGCAGGGGAGAGCCCCAGAGGAGTGATTTGGAGCTGGAAAGTTTGGCATCTTCTTCCCCTCCTTCCTTCTGCTCCCACTTAGCTCCTCTCCAACAGTGTGATCCTAAGCAGAACCACACCTTTCTAAATCTATTGAAGCCAATGAACTTAGAAGGGTGCTACTCCACTTAGGATTGCATTGCTTTGGCTAGTTAAAAAAATGGCCAATGGTCTACTGTCAAACCATATTTGTTCAGCTTTGTGGGCACAGTTTTCACCCCTGCAAACAGTGGCAAAGTTGCTGCTTGAAATGTCATCATGTGGAGTCTGATCCATTTGTTTGCTACCTTCTGCTGATTGACATCATGCTATTGCAAGCCACAAGAAAAGAAAGAGCTGCAATGCAGTGGCTGAAAATGCTGAAACAACATGGGGAGTCATTGTGTATAAACAGAGTGCTGCCACCATTTCAAGTGGCAGCCACATCAATGTTTGCTCATGTGTCTCTGACCCAGGCACCAGCATCAACAAATATTTATACCCAGCATTATGATGAAGGCTGTATTGCAGTATGCATTATGGATATCATCAGATGTTTCCTTTCCTGGAAAGGGAAAGAAAGGGCAGGAGGAAAATAGAAACCAGTATCCTTGTGCTTGAATTACTGTCCTGCTGTAGACGTGGTGGGTAGAAGGCTTAAGGCAGAAAACTAGAAGCTCTGGAAATAGAGGTAATTTTCAACATTAAGCACAGGTGGGCATTTAGCCTTCTCAAAAATTGTTTCCAATACTGTGGGCAGCCATTTTGCTGCTTTGTTTCAGAATACAATTGTAATATTTCTCTTGGAAAAGGAAAATGACAAGGAAAAAAATTATGAAAGCATGTGAAAATTCTCTGTAATTGTTAAATTATTTTGCAATTTGGCTAAATAGCCAAATAATTTAATGTGAGAAATTACGCGTAGATAAAAAGGTACCATGCTACACTAATGAAATAATGCACTATGCTTCAAGTGGTTGCTGAAGCTCTGGTTCAGTGAAAACCTGGAAGTAAGCAATTTGAAGTCAATGGGCTTAGAAGAGTGTAACTCTGCTTAGGTTGGTGATGTGTAGCGCACATCCATACTACTTCACTTTGAAGCAGAAAAAATGAAAAGGCCTTAATCAGCTCAATGCTAGCCCCCTCCCTTTTGCAAATGTAGAAAATGTGCTCACCATGGGAAGAAGGGTACAAAAATTACAACTTGTTAGGAGTGTCCTAGGGTTGTGGGGGGTTGCAGGGGGGAGTGGACATGGCACAATGAAAAGTTCAGTGCATGATGAAGCATTCTGAAAAATCCGCTTACTGATTTTGACAGTGCTTCCTGGATACAAGCCAGAAGTTGCATTCTATACCTAATAAATGGGGTTTTTTAAAGCAGAAGTTAAAATGCCACTATTGTACCTGGTTCCCTTCTCCTTTGTGTTTAGTTAGTTAGACCAAAGAGAGGTTAGAGAAAAAGAATAAGAGATACCGCAAATGACTGCCAAAGGGAGCAAAGCAAGCTTGTCATTCTCCCAAATTATATTCAGGACAGGGTCCCTTTGGACACCCCCAGTTTTCCAGCAACATTCCAAGAAGGTCTACTCAGAAGCAAGGCCCATGTTTACTCCCAGGAAAGTGTGTTTAGGATTGTAGCCTCAGTCATAGTACATAAGGCTGTATAGCAAGGTTTAATACATTATTTAACTTTTACTCTTTTGCTTGCATTTTAATGTGTATATTAAAATTCTTACTTTCCTAATAATGGTTTTACCCTTGTTCACTGCCCCAAGCTAACTTTTTTTAGAGTTGCCCATGATATAGATAAAAATGTCCATAGGAATATTCGTGCCTGTATGGTTGAGAAAGGGGTGGTGTATCACTCATTTATTGCACTAAGAGACTTGCCATTGAATTCAATGTTTTCAGAGTCAGATCTAGATAGGGGAACAGTGAAAGGGTTTAACAGCATTCATTTTACTTCTTGCTCTTTCAGGGCTAACCCACGGAATTTTAATTTTGACAATGTTGGAAATGCAATGCTAGCATTGTTTGAAGTCCTTTCATTAAAAGGATGGGTGGAAGTCAGAGATGTCATCATTCATCGTGTGGGGCCAGTAAGCATGAACTTCAAAAGGTGTCAATGTTTCTTTCTCTCTTGAACTTCTTCAGGAAAATAACTTAATTTGTTTGTGTTTATGCAGATCCATGGCATCTATATTCACGTATTTGTATTCCTGGGCTGCATGATTGGATTAACCCTCTTTGTTGGAGTTGTCATAGCTAATTTCAATGAAAACAAGGTAACAATGGCAGGCTTTTTATTTTTGCATTCAATTGTTTCTGTGTTGTGGCATCTGCTGAGTGTAGTCCTGTAGTGTAAGGTAATATGATGCACAGTGGCTTACGTAGACAAAAATCAACAAATTTATTCCAGTATTTTCATGAAAATGGTGTTATGTCAAATGGAAAGCTCCTCTGTAAGAGTTCACTTCTTCCAGTACTACAAAGGGTATCAACGCTATCTCTTGGGGATATCCAGTAGCTCATAGCAAATGCATAAGGAAAACCTTTTGTGCAAAGGAATTATAACTCTCTCATTTAAGGGGAATGGTATAGAAATCTTTATTTCAAATCTTGATATTCCATTCAGGCATATTCACGATAATTTTACACTAATATTCAATTGTCCGCAATAGTCTTGTAGCCTTCCTAGCTCAGTTCCAGATGCTGAATGGTAACCTGTAAAGGCTTCTGTGCCTATGTTCCATCCTGACCTTTGAAATCAACAGGGAATATTGATTTAAGTATAAGGCTAGTGTTGGAGTTCCCACTTTAAGATGGATAACAAGAATTTGCTGTCAGATTATTGTATCATAAGACTTTCGGTTATCATTCCATAAACTGTATGCCAAATATCCTAAATTGCAAGCCCGAACCTCAGAAAATGATATTTTTGTTGACTAAGCTGGCTTGTGTTCCATCCATTGAACTATAAATCACTGTTCCATTTTCATATTTTCAAGCATGTGAAGATCAGCAAATGTAAATTATGGGTTGGATCCAACCAGGTTTTTTACTGGTGAAACAGGGAAGAGGGTTCCTCTTTGACCACCCAAGAAGGCAACACTTGGGATCAGGAGACCAGCCCAGACAAAAACCACGCAGGATGAGGAGGCTATAGTGGGGAGAAGAACTGGGTGGGATTGAGTGGAATAGCTGGCTGGATTCATCCTATCAGTTGCATTTGAAGAATTGCAATGCCATCCTAAGTAGAGTTTAAACACGTTACTCATTGACTTCATTGGACTTAGAAAGGGGTAACAATGTACAAGTCTGCATTGTCAGCCATCCTTTAACAGCATGGATAGAGAAAATCTATGGGATCATTTTTTTAAAATGCCATTTTTGACATATGTCCAGATCCTCTTATACTCTCTTGAAAGTCAGGTTTTCATTTACTGAGATGACTATTATTTAATGGGATCCCCACCCACAGTATGAAAGAGGACTGGATTCTTTTCACATTCATTTAAACAAGAATTAAAGAGAAGCAAGTTTTTTCTCCTTTATAAACAAAATAAAGGGTACCTATCTGGTTTTATACTGATGATACGGCAGTTTTGTCCCATGTACAAATTGCTGTAAAAACATTTTAAGTTTTAATTATGAAACAATAAAAGTTGCAAAACAGTCTTAAAACAAGAATGAGGAGGGGCCATTTCTTCGTTAAATAGGGGGTCATTTATGAGCACAGATAGCTGAAGTAAGCATTTTCAGTTAGCCAGCCTAAAAGTTGTTCAATAAATTTCAGGTGTCTTTACATTTTTGTGGGTTATGTGAAGTTTTTCAGGTCTTGCCCATTCTGGAACTCTTAGCACCCAAATTAAATGACTTGTTATTTTTATAGATCAAAACACTATGGCTTTCAGAACTGGAAAATCTTCAGAATAGTCTGTTATTATTGTGTATTTAAATCTGAAAGACATATTCGGCCTGTTGTGAGGAAGTTGTCAGATTTTATTTAGCTACTGGATGAAATTTCAGTGCTGAACATGGAACTGGTCACTAAAGATCTGTTGTAGGGAACAGCATGCAGACAGAACAAGAGGAACTGAGGACTATCTCAGGTGTAAGATATATACACACTAGGAAAAAGGCCTGTTGTGGAAATAAATACAACGATCTCTAGAAAGAGGCTCTGGGCGGGTGCCCTAGCCTTGGACACTCAGTGTCAATTTGCTGTGGCGACCTCAGCAGGGTATAATGACACTGAGTCCACCATTTTCTCCAGAGGAACTGATCTCTGCTACCTAAAGAACAGTTGTAATTTTGAGTGATCTCCAGCCCTCACCTGGAGATTGGCAACGATGGTTCCCCAGAAGGGAATGGTTGGTTTGGAGGGTGGAGTCTATGGCTTTGTACCTGTCCGAGGTCCCACACCTCCCGAAACCTCACCCTCTCCAGGCTCCATCCTTCACCTCTCCAGGAATTTCCCAACTGGGTTTGGCAACCCTGTCTCCTTCTCAGGCAATCATCAACCTACCTTTATTTCCCCCTCACTCTTCAGCTTTCCACCCCACCCACACCTGCAGCCTCTCCCGTGCTTTGAAGCCCTGACTGCTATGTCCCATTGGCTGTCATACGGGGGCCACCTCAGCAGCATATAAGGATACAGAGCCCACCATTTTCTCCAGGGGAACTGATCTCTGCCATCTGGAAAGCAGTTGTAATTCTGAGTGATCTCCAGTCCTCACCTGGAGATTGGACACATTTTACCTCAGAACAGCAAACTGTTTAGAATGTTAGAGGCAAAAGCCAATCAAGTCACATGTGCAAACGATCTCTGTGTTCCAAGGCAAAGGCCAATGATGCTGCATATGCAAATAACCTCTGTGATCTGACTGGCTATGGGGGGGAGGAACAGCAAACCTTTTAGAATGTTGGAGGCAAGACTCAAGCAATGCAGCCAGTGGATAGGGACAGATTCTAAGTGACACACCAGGGCGCCAACCAATTCCGGAGCGTGTGGAATGTTTTAGAGAAGTGCCACCACCATTCGGCTTTTATATATAAGGAAGATTTATATGGTACTTATAGGAATCAATATTACTCAAAAATCTTTCCAACTTAGGAAATATAGATGTTTTAGTTAAATAAGTAAGAAAATATATAAAATAATGGAAAGTCTTACAGTCTTTCTTGGTTAGAATATAATCAGTAAAGATGTCTATTTTGCCTAAATTTATTCCCCCCCCAAAAAATTTACCAATTCTAATTCAACCTGACCTTTTCAGAAATGGCAAAACCTGCTGGAGAAATTATACTGTAATACATTTCAGTTTATCCAGATAATTTTCCTGTTAGAAAAACTAAATATTAGTTCTTCTGAAACACTTAAATCCTGCTACACAGACTTCGTGGATTGAGAAACTTGATTACTTGCTACAGGGTTCAGTGTTTAAGGAACCAGGAGAAATATTGTGAAGAATGGATTTAAATACCGATGATGCTACTGTTACACTCAATGTAATGTGTCACTTATTTATAATTTTAATTCTTAAATCAAGCCCATGATATCCTATGATACAACTCGGTCATGAATATGAGCCGTACTTTGTTAACTTGCTAACCCTCCTTTGAGAAAAGGTTTTACTTAGTTACGGGCTCAGCAGACTTCATCAACTGTTATATACAGACATTACTATTTTTATTTATTAATTAAAATATTTATAACCTGTCTTCCAGGGTACCTTAAAATAGATTAAAAACAAATTTTGCAATGCAAAAGTTATAAAACAGAATTTCCATCACATCATCTCTTCCGTAGTTGCTCCATCACTGACACTAAGCATCTGATGTAGCCCCCCCCCCCTGCTCACTGGCTGGTAATAAACCAAAAACAAATTGGAAGCCCAGCACGGAGGCACCAGCACCAGCTAATCCTTGGCTAATTGACGATTTTTCTCCATTCTGGGGGTCAGGCTTCTTCATCTTAATAGACGAAAGTGCCAGTCACTGTCCAAATGCACACATGCCTCTTCAAGACACAATTATGGAAGCAAAAATAGAGGAGAGAGGATGGAAGTGCTAAAGTTCTTCTTTTCATCTTCACTGATGACCGGGCAGTAAATGGAGAAATGTTCTTTAGTGACCATAGTTTAGAAATGGCCCAGGAAGAAATAGGGACTCCCAGCTCAAGAGGCATTGGCCACAGCAAATCCTGAGGCAACAGATGATTTCTCTGAGTTGGAGCAGGCAAGCTTCCTCCTTCTCATGAGAGATGATAGCAGCTGGACACCAGCCAAGCACTGCACTCCCCTTCAGGAAGAATAACAGGAAAGAAAGGGAAACTGAGAGTTTATACCAACGCCCTTCCACCAAGGCACTCAGGGTGGTGTATATGAATGGAATAATGCCATTTTCCCCTAACAACTCTGCTCTGAGGAAAGTCCGGCTTATAGAGATAGAAAAGAGCAAGAGTCCGGTGGCATCTTAAAGACTAACAAAATGTGTGGCAGGGTATGGGCTTTCATGAGTCACTGCTCACTTCTTCAGGTACCTACAGACAGACTAACATAGCTACCCATCTTGATCTAGGCTTATAGAGAGTGACTGTTTCAAAGTCACTCAGTGAGCTTCATGGTTGAATGAAGGTATGAACCTGGGTCTGACCAGTTCTAGTTTGGCAGAAACCACTAGACCATACCAGCTCTTTACAATGTTCCCTATTCTATCTGATAATACTGTACACATTACATGTTGTACTTTTAAATGATTATGGGGATCTTTTATTGGAGGGTCAAGACCTCTGGTGGTACCTAAAATATCAGGACTGACTACTCACTAAGAGTGACAAGGAAGTGACATTGATAGTACCTGATGGATCTCGCAACTGCTCAGTGTCCCATCCCTCCCCCATGGGCATTATTAGATTGTAAATTTCATTGCTGATGCCTTGTATTGGTTGCACTTCCATGCTATTACTTTACCGCATTTTTAAAAATTCACTAACTGAATCAGAGGTCATTTCGGGGGGGATCGCGGGGGATTGCAGTTCCCCCGGGTGAGGTATGGGGGGCGGGACACATGACGTAACCCCGCCCCCGCTTCCGGCCCTCATTCAGCCAGGAGGAGGCAGGAGAAGAGGGAGGGTAAGTTGCTTCCTCCCTGCCTCTCCCCACCCCTGCCTGCCTGGGGCCAGGGAGGGCCTTCGCGGGGCTTCCTTGCACTCCCGCCAGCCTTGCAGGTCCACTGCCGGGCCCCTCATGGGGCTTGGCAGTGGAGCTGCAAGGCCGGCGGCAGCAGCCGGGACCGTTGGGGGCGGGGTGTGTGGCCTTATTACACACTTCCGGTGATGTCAGGGGGTGTGGCCTTATGACACACTTCCAGTGATGTCAGGGGGTGTGGCATATGCTAATGAGTTCCCCTAGCTCTTTTTCTACGAAACGACCCCTGAACTGAATTCATCGCTTTCAGTTTAGTGGTTGCACTGCTGGAGTAGAATTGGAGAGACCCAGGTTCGAATCTTTGGTCTGCCATGGTGACCTTGAGCCACTCTCACATGCTGTCAGCCTAACCCACCTCACAGGATTGCTATGAGGATAAAGTTGGGGGTGGGGAGAAGGCTGTAATCCACTTGGGGTCCCAATAGGGGGGAAAGGCAGGGTATAAATGAAGTAAGTAAATGAATCCTGTCCTTCCTCCCAAAAGTTCATGGTGGCATAAATGCTTCTTCCCCCCCCCTTTCTATTTTATCTTCACAACAATTCTGTAAAGTAGGCTAGGCTGAAAGAACGTAACTGGCCAGTGTAATTCATGACCCAATTAAGATCTGAACTCAGGTCTCCCCAGTCCTAGTTCAGCATTCTGACTATTTTTATTTTATTTTATTGAATATGTATCAGGGCGTGGGGTTACATCAGTATCAATGCAGTATAATACAATTCAATTAAAAACAACTTTAAAACAACAATTTAAAATCGTGTAGTATCATAAAATACCATGTAAAATAAATCAGATCAGATGTCAGTTAAGATGTCGATCAGATCAATTAAGATACAACCAACTAGGCTGTTCACGTCAAGTATACGAGCTATGCTTATTATAGGACAGTGAAGTGGATAAGAAACTGAGCTCTGATCCAAAAGGTGACTGGTTCAAATCTTACCCTTGTCACATGCTCACTATGGCCTTACAGAAGCCAGTCTCTTCAGCCCCCTGTCTGTCATATGGAGATGATAATACTGGCCTACCTAGCCGGGCTTTAGAATCATAGAATCACGGAGTCAGAAAGGGCCAGACAGGCCATCTAGTCCCAACCCTTGCTCAATGCAAGATCAGCCTAGAGCATCCCTGACAAGTGTTTGTCCAGCCACTGCTTTATAGCAAGATAATGCATTTGAAGCTCTTTGAACAATGAAAGTACAGTATAAATGCTAAGGATTATCATACACCAAGTGAGGTCTGCATAGGGATTGAGAGAGCAATCCTAAACTGGTCTACTCAGAAATCCTATCCAGGATTATTCAGTTGGATCGACTTCCAGGAAAATATTTTTAGGATTGCACTGACCTTCAACTGGAATTTTCTTCCTTGGGAGGCTTAACAAAACCCAAACCTGATTGTATAAAACATTGTTATTCTAATTGGGTTTTGGCGTCCAGGGAATGGGATAAAACAATTGGCATGTTGCTCCCTGCTCGGACTATATAATCCCAACAAATACATGAATTTCTTTTGTCCTTGTTTAGGGAACAGCTTTGCTGACTGTGGATCAGAGGCGATGGGAGGATCTAAAGAGCAGACTGAAGATAGCGCAACCTCTTCATCTCCCACCTCGCCCAGGTATCAAGGCAATTTTAATTTGGTTCATGTTGAGCACAAGTGTTCGTAATTCTGCAGGAGTCTAGGATTCAAATTAAAATTGTAATCAGGAGGCCACTAGGAGGCTGTGCATAAGTTAATGTGGAAATGGGCTCCATCTATCAACTCCTGCATCCGGCTATGAAATCGACTCCCTAAAATGTAGTGCTTTGATGGTTTTAGGGTAAGTCATAAGGACAAAAATGAATTCTTAAATTAAAAATACTTGCACTTGGCTGCTAATGGTATGAAAGGAATGTATTAACCTGACAGCAGCTGAGTTATATATATTTTTTTCGTGCACGAACATTCAGCATCTGAAATGACATGTTGAGGAACAGTGTAGAAAAATATGAAATTGTTGCAGAATATCATTAGTGATGGTAGAAATCTAGACAGGTTGTCAAGAAGTCTAGCAGGAAACAAACAAATTCTGTGTTTTATTAAGTCATTTGCTTTTAATTGTTTCCCCTCCCTCCCACAGATAATGATGGATTTCGAGCCAAGATGTATGATATTACACAGCATCCGTTTTTTAAGAGGACAATTGCAGTCCTTGTGCTGGCCCAATCTGTGCTCTTATCTGTGAAGGTATTTTTTCTGTGCTTGTGAAGGTCTTGTGAAGTAGCAGTTAAACAAATGGGGGGGGAAATGTGACAGATCTTTTTGAAGGGAGCAAAATGCCCATAGAACCTACAGAAACGAGTCATTATTAACATAAAACATAAATCAGAACAAATTTTTACTTTTCTTCTGCTTCTTCTTTTATACTCAAGTGGAATGCTGAAGACCCAGTGACTACTCCTTTAGCAGCAATGTCTGTTGTCTTCACCTTCATTTTTGTTCTTGAGGTAAGGTCATTTCCATTGTTTTCATGATTTCTTCAAATTAGGTGCCAGCCAGTCAGATTTCTTGTTTCGTTATAATCAGATCAGAGAAATATGTGTCTCAGGAACCGATGAATCCACCTCAACTTCAATCAATAAACCTTACTTATTTCAGCTGTGTTAGTCTGCCACAAACTGTGCAAGAGAAGGCAAAAACAGCACCAGAGGCTCTGTTCAGACACAACATGAAACCCTAGCTTATTGTAACTTTGGTTATGTCTAAGGAACCGATGAATCCACCTCAGCTTCAATCAATAAACCTTACTTATTCCAGCTGTGTTAGTCTGCCACAAACTGCGCAAGAGAAGGCAAAAACAGCACCAGAGGCTCTGTTCAGACACAACATGAAACCCTAGCTTATTGTAACTTTGGTTAGTTTATAAACAGTCTTTGGTTAGTTTATAAACAGTCAATCAAATCCAGGTTCATCCAGACATCACACAAAATCATACTGGCTTCAGATTCTGTCTTGATGGACCCTAACCCTAGTGAGAGGGGCCACTTCTCAGTGGAAAAACAACTACTTTGCATGTGAAAGGTCCCAGATACAGTCCCCAGCATCCCCAGTTAAAACGAGTAGGCGGTAAGTGATGTGAAACATCTCTTCCTGAGACTTTGGAGAGCTGCTGCCAGTCTGAGTAGATGGTCTGATTCAGTGTAAGACAGCTTTATGTGTGACCAATCATACTAGACTGCCTTGCATTAGTCAGTTTAATAAACCTCATGATTTCATGCAATGCCTAAACTGAGCCATAGTCTAATGGTGCCTTAAAGACAAGTCAAGTTTATTAAATACGGTCATGCGACCAGCCACTGTAGAACATTTCCAAGATGAATAATAAAATACACAGTAAATACATAAAATCAAATAGATATATAAAAACATTAAAACAGATACAGGAGCAATACAATTATCATTAAAATGCACCAAAACAACGCTAATTGTCAGTCATTCACTATCTAAGATACAAGCTTCCTTTTTTTAAGGGCCTGGAAGCAAAATTTTGCCACAGCTAAAGAAATCCTTTCTCTCCGGTCTTCCAGCAAAAAGTTTAAAATCCTTAATTCCGCAAATTTCAACTGGACATCCAAGGGTTTAAATTTGGACAACAATGGGAAAATTAACAGCTGTCTCTCCATAGCTTAACCAATAAGAAATCGAAGCAATCCAGATTTTCGTTTCCATTTTTGTCACCCCAATCTCCTGCCTAAGAACTACATTCGCTATACATTTAGGCGCACTAAGTAATGCTCTAATAAATTTGGATTGAACTTTTTCCAGGTACTTAAAATTATTCTCACTTATTGTGATTACTTGCGTACCATATGTGAGTTGGGTTAAGACCTTTGCGTCAAATAATTTCAACGCCACAAGAATTACACCTTGGCCCCCCTTTCTAAAAAATCTGATAATAGCATTAACATTTATCTCAGCAGAGCAGATTGTAGAGGTTATATGAGCTGAGGAGCTGCCATTATAGTTGAAAATAACCCCTAAATACTTATATGTTTTTACTTGCTCTATAGATTGACCATTTATTCTCCAAATATCTTTCTTATAAGCCCTGTTAAAACGAATAATCTTGGTTTTGGAATAATTAATCGTTAATCCTCATCACATTTCTTACTAAAGATTCTTAAGGCTTGTTTAAGACCAACTCTAGTTTGGGACAGTAAGATAGCATCATCCGCATACATTAGTATTGGAACCACCTCTCCTCCTGAGAAGTTAGGGGTGTGGACATCTATCCCATGTAGAGACTGAATAAGGGAGTTAACGTATATATTAAACAGGGAAGGGGCAAGTAAACAACCCTGTCTTACTCCCTTCCGGGAGGGAATCAATTTTGATAACCTTCCTTCACCATTACATCTGATTTGTAATTGCGTATTCTTATGGACTTTAATCATCAGATGCAGCAGTCGCCTTAAAGATTAAAACATTTATTGTGTCCCATAAAAAAGATAAATCTAAGGGGAGAGATGGGTGAGGGATTTTACAAAATGTAATGTGAGAGAAGATATTTTACAAAAGAAAACCAGATACAACAATCCAAGAAACAGGGGCAGGGCACATATGAAAACAGTCAAGACAATTAACAACCCCATCTGAGTGGGTGTGAGCCACTCTCAGTTGATGATAAATTGGCACAAACACAAATTGAACAGTGTATATAAATCTCTAAAGAGGGACCAGTCCTTTCTGAGGTGAGCTAGACACTCCTGAAGTTAATTGAGACCAAACTGACAGTGTCAAGACGGCATATGAATTCCAGAGCACCAGCAGCTGGAATTTTATCTTTGGCACCAAGGTGTGTTGCAGGGTTAGCTACCTGGGCTTGTAAACCTTGTTCTTGGATCTGGTAGTGCAGAGTCATAGAACCTTCTGCTTAGTGGAGTGTTGAGCACATTCATAGCATTGTATTGTTATTGTTATTGCTGTGACTTTTTAATCTGTTTGGATGCACACTGATTTACCAATAACAATGAAATATTTTCAGGGGGGAGCTGATATGACCTTGAGGGGATTTAAAAAAACATTTTTTTGGAAGAACAGGTGCAACATGTCAATTGATTTCCTGTAGGTCACAATGAAGATTATTGCCATGTCACCTGCTGGATTTTGGCAAAGCAGAAGGAATCGCTATGACCTCTTGGTGACGTCCTTGGGTGTCATATGGGTGATACTCCACTTTGCCTTAGCTGTAAGTACCGGCAAACCGAATTTGCAACCAGTATGCACTGACATGATCATTTCACATGGTAGGTTCTTGAGGCATTCTGCATCAGATCTTGGTAGTGGGTCCTATTTATCTTGTGCATTGTTATCCTTTCCTTTTCCCAAGGATTTTGTCCATGTTCATGGTTCCTTCCCCAACTTAACTGCATAATGAATTTGTGAAGTACTTGAGGCTCAGAGAGAGCGATTGGCCCTAGATCACCCAGCAATCTTCATGGCAGGGTGGGTATTTGAACCTCATTCTCCCAGATCCTAGTCCATTGGCTTGGATCGTACAGATGATCTTCATGGACAGAAGAGGGGTAATTTTGATTTATTCCTCCAACTACCCCCATGCCATGCCCAGAGGTCCCCTTTCCTCCAGAAGCCACGTTGGGGGCTACAGCAGTAGGGGTAGCGGAGGAAGTCATGCTGCATGGATGGAAATCCTTCTGTCTGCAGAACTCTCAGTGAATCTCAGCAGGGCTCTCCAGGTCTTATTCCTGTAAGTAGCCAGGACCAGCCCCTTAGCCTGTGGAGGGTGAAGGAGGTTTTTCAGAGTCAGAAAAGAGAAAGGTTTGCTGTCCGGCTTCTTTAGTGCTTGATTCTGATGTGTTCGTGGCAGCACAAACCACTCAGTAAGTCTGCTTTGCAATTATGATCAAAACTGTAGATCAATCAGTTAGGCAGCCACAAACTGAGAAAACCAATACAGTCTGTCTGGTAAGAGCCAACGAGGGCCAATTTGTTTCATCCTGCAGTGCCTGGCATTTATGACAAATTCCGTGTTCAGAGAATAATGTGCTGAAGGCTTCCCTGCAGGCCCAGAGCCCACAATTAGGAGAATGAGAAACACAGCATTTCCTTTCCTTGTTTTGGGCCCATTTCTCACCAAAATGTAAACCTGTGTTCAGTCTGTACCATTTCGGACTAACCGCTCCTCTCTACTAAAAGAACTCCCTCTCTATAGGAGACTAGATGTCACAGGAGAATCATTGTAGCCTAACCTCCTGACAGTCTTGTTTTATGTATCAGATTCTGCTTCATTTTTTTAGATACAGAGGAAAAGTCAATGATGAACTCTTACCTATAGGGTTGCCAGCCCCCCCCCCCAAATGTAAACACTACTTCCAGCTCATACCAGAAGTTACATCATCACGTTGGCAATGTCCAGGCAACACTCTGTTATTCAGACAAAAACTCTATGGGAAGAAACCATTTTTACCATCGAATTTTTGCCCAGATACCTGAGTGTCGTCATGACATCGCAATGTGATGATGTCACTTCCGGTGCACACCAGAAGTGATGTTGCTGCATCACCGGCAATGTCACGTGAGCCTCTCTCCCACTCCTGGTGACCTGGCAACTCTACTTACCTGCATTCTGAGGTAGCACATCCAACACATGTCCCAGGGTGTTTCTCTGGGTTCAGAAAGAAGCTGCTTGTTGATCATTCTAAGTTGTAAGGAGAGATTGTTTAAAGTTTTTTTTTGAGGCCTAGTTTTTCCATAGTTTGAGGCATGGAACAGACTTGAAAATACAGAGGCATCTGTCTGAGATGAATCCAAGGTACTACAGTGGCATGCGACCATGACAGTCACTAATCCCATAATGGGAGCTATGTCTAATAAATAGTTTGCCATGTGATTGCATTTTCAAGCTTCAGGACATGCAGAAGAAGGGATTTATACATAACTAGCTTGTGGAATTCACTGTCACAAGATTTGCTAGTTACTGGCTTAGATCATTTTAAAGGGGGGGTCAGCCAGATTCATGGAAGACAGGTCTCTCAATGGCTGTTAGTGATAACAGATAGAAACCTTCATGTTCAGAGATAGCAAACCTTTGAATACCAGACAGTGGGATCTAACAGCAAGGCAATGTTGGCTCCGGTCACACGGGCAGGAAACTGCGGGGGGGAAGCGTGGCTGTTTGCCCCGGGGCAAACTAATGCGCGGTTAAGCGATCAGACCTCCTGTGGAGGTTCTGTGGAGGTACCGTGGAGGTTCCGTGGGTAGGGAGAGGTGCCGATCACAGGACACGCCTGCGCGCAACGAAGAAGCGCGCGGTGTGGCAAACTGGTTTTCTTTTTTGTGTACACGACGAATGCGCATGCTCCGTTGGGTGCGTGTGCGCATCCACGGAGACTTGGGGGGGGAACCTTTTTCGCAAGGGGACATGGGCGGGCGCCGGATGCCACCGGAAACGCGATCAGACGCCCGCCCTTGCCCCGCGGTTTCCGGAAACTAGTACCTCCGAGGTACTAGTTTTTTGCTGCGTGTTTTCGGCAGGAAGCCTCGGTTGTGCCATGGAAGCGCTACGCTTCCCAGATGTGCCGGTGAGATCGCGCCCGGAAAATCCGCCTGTCTTCTGTCTCTCTTGCGTGGCTAATGTTCCGTGTGACCACAGCCGTTGTCACTTTTGTTGTCTCCTTGGAGACATAAAGCCAGCCACCAGTGGAAAGAGGAGACTGGATGAGATGAACGTTTTGTCTGATAGGAAGGGGTTTTTTTGTATATTCTTAGGCCATTGCCAGCCTGCTGGGGTTATTCTGCTTCATCCTACCACTCCACTGAGCAAAGTTGGAAGCCTTCTTCCAGCCTAAGGAGGCTTTCTCCAACTGCTCTTTTTTTTTTTTGGAGGAAGAGGCAGTTAACTTGGAGAAAGTCTCCTTAGGCTAGAGACTTACTGGAGTGGTGGGACAAGACTATGATCCACCCTGCTGTCTCCATGTAAGAATGGAATACAAACTGTGAATAAAAGGGCAGCTGGCTCTTTTCATCTGGAAGCCGTTGCTGATACGTTCATTAATTTTATATCTTAATCGTTGTGTGTGTGATTCAAATAAAATTCATAAGGTAGCTATGTTAAGACATACTATTGAAAGCAGGACAATTGTGTTTCATTCCAGAATCCCTACACATATATGATGGGAGCGTGTGTCATTGTCTTCAGGTTCTTCTCCATTTGTGGCAAGCATGTGAGTACAAATTAGGATTTATTGTTTTTATAGTGGTCACATATTGGGTATAAATGAGGTCTTTTTTGGTCATGATCACATGCACAATTAGCCACACCATAGGCGCGAATGACGGGTGGATTTAAAGGGTGCGCCCTGCACCCGTCGGCAACTCATTTTGCTCCGCCACAGAAGGAGAAAAGACACTAGGGAGAGTACGGTAGCAAACAGGTTGCTACGGGCTACGGACGGACTTCCCCCTGTGTGATTGCTCCAGCACGCTCCCATGGCATCGGGATGGTCTGATCAGGGCATCCCAACTCCATGACATTGTTTTCTTCCCCATCTCGGTATGCGCATCATCCCACACTGCATAGGGAGCCCTCAATGCCGAGATGTGAATCATCGATCCCTCGTTGAAGTGCACCGGAAACACGCGGCAAAAAAAAAAAACCTGACTCACCCGCGGTTTCATCTGATCATGCAGTGGCGGGCTGTGCCCGCAGCTTCAAAGGACTGTGTGATCGTGCAACTGCGGGTCAAATTCCTACATTGCAAATAGCCTCGCTTCCTCCCCGCTTTATCTTGCCCGTGTTTGCTTTCAATGAAGAAACCAGGCCTAGTGTCCAGAATACCTCTATTAAGTGGAGCTTACTCCCAGGAAAGTGTTCTTAGAGTCGCCCTGAAAGTCATCCTAAAGCATTTGAAAATCTCGGAATTAAAGGGAACCTCAACAGAAAGATAGACTAAATATTTAGTCATCCTTAGTGAGATCAGAAACATTGGAAAGCTTCTTGAATCTAAACTAGAACAGAAAAATAATTAGCAGTGACATCTGAAGTAGATTTACACCATTCTAAGCCCACTGACTGACTCTGTTTAGGATTGCACTAGGCTAGAGGATATTAATTCCAAACAGAGATTATCCACACACAGTGCCTCCTGTCCCCCCAAAAAACCCTGATATGATTGTCCTAATCAGAATTTATTAAGTATTTAAATGTTTAGGTTATTTGTGGGATTTGGGGCCAGTGGACATAGGGTTGGAGTGTGTGGCATCTAGGCACTATCTGGTTTCGGGGTTACATAAAAGGGAATTTATGTCACTTGCCTCTATTGTCACTGAAGCATTATGACTTGGCAATGCTCTGGGGCCAATGAAGGCAGTAGTAGAGGGCAGAATTTCACATATTGATTGGAACCAACCAGCCATTTCTTTGGCTTCAGGCCTCTAGCATTATTCAGTTGTGTCAGTGGCAGACGTTTATGCCCGCTTTCCATTGGTCTTCCTTATTTCTTCCCAGGTGACACTGAAAATGCTGCTGCTGACTGTAGTTGTCAGCATGTACAAAAGTTTTTTCATCATAGTAGGGATGTTCCTGCTACTGCTTTGCTATGCTTTCGCTGGGGTGGTTTTATTTGGCACTGTGAAGTATGGCGAAAACATTAACAGGTATGGGACTTTGGTCCTTCTTAAGCAAGTAATTGGTATGTGATATTTGTGTTTGAGGGCTGGGATGTTTGTTGAACTGTTTTGATGGTCAGAACATTTGGACCCTGTTGGACAATAGGTTTATGGACATAAAAATACACACAGCAGCAATATTATGATAGTACTACCATATCCCTGACCTGGATAGTCCAAGCTAGTCTGATCGCATCTGATCCTGGAAACTAAGCAGGGTTGGCCCTGGTCAGTATTTAGATGGGAGACCACCAAGGAATACTAGCATCTATACACAGAGACAGGCAGTGGCAAACCATCTCTGAACATTTCTTGTCTTGGAAACCCTATGGACATAAGTCATTTGTGTTTTGATGGCAAAAAACAAGTACCTCCATAGTTATTTTGTGCAACAGGAATAACTTGATGGTCAAGGATTTCCAGGAGAATGTGGAGATTACTATACAGGAGGCATGAACTAACCTCACATTGTAAAAAAATGGTCAGTATACTACAGCGCCTTCATCTTGAGGGCCAGCCAGGATAGGTGAGGAAGGAAAAATAGTTCAACAAGCCCTGGTTCAGTTTTCCCTGCTCACTAGAACACATGCAGCTGCTTTATATGGAGTTGGTCCATCTAGTTCAGTATTGGTCCATCTAGTTCATTATGAGAAGTGGCTTTCCAAGGTCTCAAGACAGAGGAGAAAGGGCCTTCTCAACCCTTTGGTACCTGAAATCCTTGTAACTGGAGATGCCATCCTCTACTGCTGAGCTATGGCCCACTGAGCTGAACCCACTGTGGGGAACAGGGAAGGACCGGGCTCTAAGATTTCTTGTGCTGAATTTTCCTTGTGATACACTGAGAGAGATTTTTGTTTGTTTGTTTGTTTGCTTAAACACAGGCATGCCAACTTTTCATCAGCTGGTAAGGCCATTACTGTACTCTTCCGAATAGTCACTGGGGAAGACTGGAACAAGATAATGCATGACTGCATGGTAAATTAAACACAATTCTAAAAGTCCCCCCAAAAAACCCAGATGCACTCAGTATCCAACTTCTTGGCTTTGTATCTGAACAGTGATGTTCTTTTTAAAACAAAAATGGTATCCATCATGCAAAATCTCATTTGTTGTTTTCTTTGAATATGGTATAGGAATAATTCAGCCCCCCAAAATAAGTCTAGCTCACTAAAAAGAGTTAGAACTTAAGGCTGCCAGACAATCTTTGGATCTCCTGGCTATACCACACACAATGCCATATGATAATTAATTAATTAATTCCCATAACTTTAGATCTGTCCACCATGGGCTAGCATCAGCAGATACGCATGTATTTGGCCAGTCTACATATCCCCATCTTTGATTCAATTGCTAGTTGATAAATATTTCTCATTCTTTGCACTCAGCAGAGGATTTTTGGCTTTGCTGTACATATGCTCACAATCCATATTGGCGTGATAAATGCAGAAAAACTATCTAAATATCTTAATCTTCAGCCTCAAATATTTGTAGTATTGGTCCACAGAGCTCACACGGCTTTTATCTTTAACCCCCTGCTTGTAACTTCACCTGAAATGTAAGCAAATTACCGGTATGTGTCTTCACAGGATAGAAGGGGCTATCCCCTTAGGTAGCATGGTTCCCTCCTTCCTGTTTTAGTAGGAATTGGCTAAAGGGTCTCTTCCCTTGGAGCATAGCCTTTTACTGTACCCTGTTGTCCATGATGCAGTCTAAAAGTAAAGGCTTCAGAGTTTGGGGGTTTCAACAGGCAGTCTTTTCTAAATATTGGGAGAGCTACAATAATTTTCGTAGTGTACATAGGGATAGGGGGATGTACATTATAGCAGTGATGCAAAGGGAAGGAAGTTTTACCCCTTTCCTGTTTTTTCAGTCATTCCTTTTCCCTGGAATTGCTGGCCACCCTGCAAGAAAAAAACAACATATAGGAGCAAATAGAAAGCAAAATTGGGGTCCATTTTACACCCAAACCAGGGTGAAGGATGAAGACTGCAGATTGGGCTTCAACTGCAGATTGAGTGCTCCTTCAACCATACCTCTTTGCAGTCTGATTCCCCCACCCTGGCCCGTGGGTGTACTCCTCAGTGGAACACCAACTGTGGAAATGTGCTTGCCTAGGAAAACAAATTCAGGGAAGGGCTGTGGAATAGTGGGCTGGGGAGGGAAGAATTCAGTATTTCTCACCTGCACACCCAAAACACATGGATCTGCTGCCATTTCCTTGATCCCACAGTCTTTACTAATCTGCCATACACATCAGAATTTTGTTATGTTGATCACCCTATTGTTTTCTAACAGTGATGTTTGTTTTGAAGGTTCAACCTCCTTTTTGTACACCAGATAACAATACATACTGGAAGACGGATTGTGGAAACTATGCTGGCGCTCTTATGTATTTCTGTTCTTTTTACATCATCATTGCATACATAATGCTGAATTTGCTTGTGGGTAAGTTATCAACTACGGGTAATAGAAATGGTCATTATCTGTAACTACATCTAATGTTTATGATATGTTTATTTATTTATAAGCTAGCCTCTAGGGACTCTCAAGGTGGTCTACAACACAAAACTATATAAACAAACAATATAGTGATTAAAAGAACGATAATTTTTTTTTTTTAATTTTATTAATCTTATGAATCGCCCACCCTGAAGTGCAGGGTCTGTGCGATTGACAACATTTTAGACATTTAAAAATACAATTTGATATATAATTAAAATTACTAATAGTGACAGAAATTAAAACCCATCAAGATGGCGATATACACCTTCATTGCCAGTCACACCACCAATCCCCGCACAGCAGGGCAGCAAAGGGTATGTGGGGGCCGTAGAAGAAAAAAGAGAGAGGGTGCCAGTCTTAACCTCCCATCGCTCTCGTCATCTAAAAGCCTGGCGGAACATCTCTGCCTTACAGGCCCTGCAGAATTGCATCAGATCCCGCAGGGCCCTGATGTTGTTTGGCAGAGAGTTCCACCAGGTCGGGGCCAGTACCGAGATGGCCCTAGTCAAGGACAGCCGGACCTCCCTACAACAATATGTACGCAAACAACTATAAAACTTGACAGTTACTGTATCTAATAGCAACGTAGATTCAGGTGGGTTCCCATGTTGGCCTGAAGCAATAGAATAAAGTTTGAGTCCAGTTGGCACCTTTAAGACCAACAAAGTTTAATTCTGGATATAAGCTTTTGTGTGCATGCACACTTCTTCAGATACATGCACATGGAAGCTTATACCCAGAATTAAACTTTGTTGGTCTTAAAGGTGCGTTTGGACTCAAACTTTGTTCTAATAGTAAAGTAGCTGGCCTCCATGCCAATCACGAAAGCGGCAAAACCAAGCCACCAACAAGGTAGGGGGTCTCTTCGCATGTGTGGAACTATCCTGGTACACAGGAAAGGTTGCTGTATGAATTAACCGTAGAAAAAGAAAATATACATGAAAAAAGGCTAATGAGGACTGAGCATGCTCCCAGATCATAGAAAGTGGAGAGAAGTTGAGAGTCAGTGAACTGAACAGGGTGCATGAAACCTGTTCAAGAAACTGAGTGCTTTATATGGGGGAGATTTTGAAAGCAGGGATAGGATTTATGTATTATTCACACACACATACACATAACTCCTTGTGGGCTCCTGCTTTACAAAAACAGTCACCAGTAAAAGTTCAGTCAGCAGCGCAGTTTCAATGCAAAACCACCAAAGCAAAATGCCAGGCTAAAGTTTCACAAGTGTTATGAACTACTGGGCTGGAGAGCCTGTCTAGGAAAGATGTTCCACAGAGAAGGTGTGCCATTATAGACAAGGCCCCAGTGCCTTGCGGTTGTGAACCTGGTATCAGGAGGCAACTGAAACCAGAGCAAGGACTCACCTCAGGAGTTCAAATAGGAGAAGGTGCCCAAGAATTGTTATTGCAGCACTAGGTTATAGTTTTGACACTGGAGAAATCCATCTGCTGTTTTGTGCATGCAGGATTTAATTCCCGTATTTTTTACAAAGTGCACTCTGTGTTTAACAGTACAGAAGCCAGAATGTTTCAGTAAGAAGGATGACTTGTAAATTAGTGATTTGGAAGGTGAATTATTCTACTTCGCATGTGTATAAGAAAGGAACATACAGTTGGCCTTGAGAAAACTATTATCCTGGGGGGGGGGCTCATTCAGTTTCCCCTGAAGGTAGTGAAACATTTCCAAATTTTAGATCAAAGATTCAAATTACTGCTGGTGTATCAAATTGTAAGAATGTATCACTGACGACCAAGATCAAGTTAATTCATGCCATAGTATTCCCCATTACTATGTATGGGTGTGAAAGTTGGACAATGAAGAAAGCTGACAAGAAGATTCCTTTGAAATATGGCATTGGAGGAGAGGGTTTTTTTGGATACCATAGACCACCAAAAAGACAAATAAGTGGGTTCTAGACCAAATCAAGCCTGAACTCTCCCTAGAAGCTAAAATGACTAAACTGAAGGTATTGTACTTTGGTCAGATTATGAGAAGACTGGAGGCACTGGAAAAGACAATAATGCAAGGAAAAGTTGAAGGCAGCAGGAAAAGAGGAAGACCCAACATGAGATAAATTGGATCAATAAAGGAAGCCACAGCCCTCAGTTTGAAAGAGCTGAGAATGGTTGCTAGTGATAAAACGTTTTGGAGAACGTTAATTCATAGGGTTGTCATAAGTTGGAAGCAACTTAACGGCACTTAACACACACACACACACATCAAATTGTCTAACCTGAAATATATAGCTTATATTGGTTTGTTTATGGACATTCACCTGAAAACATTAATTTCTGATATATTAATATGAACATTGATGTATTACATTTTGGCCAGTCTTAAGATTAGAAGTAAATATCCATTCCACATTAAATATATGACCATTCATGTAGAGCACATATGTTTGAAAGTTCTTATACTGTGTTTAATGTTGGTCTCTTCCATAGCGATAATCGTGGAAAACTTCTCACTATTTTACTCCACGGAGGAGGATCAGCTCTTAAGTTATAATGATCTTCGACATTTTCAAATTATATGGAACATGGTCGATGACAAAAGGGAGGTAAGTGATTTCTCTGTAATTTCATTTCAATTACTTGCCAGAAAGCAAATGCAGTTTTTCTGTTAATTGGAAGCACTGGCAAGTCTGTTTATGAAATTTCCTTTAAGTTCTTCTTCTTTCCTAGGGAGTGATTCCTACTTTCCGGGTAAAGTTTTTGCTAAGGTTGCTGCGAGGGAGGCTGGAAGTTGATCTGGACAAGGACAAGCTTTTGTTCAAGCACATGTGCTATGAAATGGAGAGGCTCCATAACGGCGGAGATGTAACATTCCACGATGTACTAAGGTACATAAGATGGGCACAAACCATTTGGAGGTCAGTCCAAAGCAGAGTTGCCCCCTTTTGAGCTCATTGAATTTATTTGACTCAGAAGGGTGTAACTGTGTTTAGGATTGCACTGTTAATCACCCCAAATTAATTATAGTTCCCTAGCCTGTATCTCTCCTTATATATAAAGCTGTTTTGGTCGTGGACTCTTGAACACACTTCCGAATCAGTTGGCCTGCTGGTGTGTCGCTCAAATGGCATCTCTACCAACTGGCTGCGTGGCTGCCTGCGTTGCCATCGTCCCTCCCACTGGAGCGCCGCCCAGTGTCTTGGCCTCAGTCTGCTCACAGCCAGCACCTGGCCCAGACACTCCACTGGGCAGCCACTCCTCAGGCTGAGCCCGATCCTGCCGGTGCCACAGCAGACATCGTCGGCCAAGCCCGAAGAAGAAGAGATTGGATTTATATCCTACCCTTCACTACCCAAAGGTATCTCAGAGCAGCTTACAAACTCCTTTCCCTTCCCCTCCCCACAACAGACAGCCTGTGAGGTAGGTGGGGCTGAGAGAGCTCTGACAGAAACTGCTCTTTTTCAAGAACAGGTGTGCCAGAACTATGGCTTGCCCAAGGTCATCCAGCCAGGTGCAAGTGGAGGAGTGGGGAATCAAACCCGGTTCTCCCAGATTAGAGTCTGCACACTTAACCACTACACCAAACTGGTACTGCAGGTGCCCGCCTGGCCTGCGAACGGATGGGGGCTGGCATGCCGCTGGGGCAGAGGGCGGTGGAGGCGGTCCGGAGGTCGCTGGACATGGCCGAGCCCAACTGCAGCTACCCATCTGGCCTGCGCACGGATGGGGGCCAGCATGTGGCTGGGGCAGAGGGTGGTGGAAGCCGCCTGGAGGCCACAGGGCGCAAAGCCAGTGCTTGGCCCTAGGGTCGCCCCTCGACCCCCGGGGTCTGGGGAGGGGGGGAAAGCAGGGGAATGGGGGCCCCTGTCTTCCTAGGGCTCATTGTATTCCTTCTATGCAACGAGCATTGCTCCTAGTTGTATGTAAATTATAAAACAGGATAACAATGTCTGTAAAGTGTCAAGTCGCAGCTGACTTATGGTGACCCCGTGGGGTTTTCGAGGCAAGAGATGTTCAGAGGTGGTTTGCTGTTGTCTGCCTCTGTGTAGCAGCCCTGGACTTCCTTGGTGGTCTCCCATCCAAATACTAACCAGGGCTGACCCTGCTTAGTTTCCAGGATCTGATGAGATCAGGCTAGCCTGGGGTATCCAGGACAGGGTAAGAATACAGACATGTTATCAAAGATCATAGTTTATTTTTGTGTAAGAACGTAGGAAATTTTACTCAAAACTGAATTAGCAGTCTTTTCCTAATATGCCTATCTGCATAGGGCCAGTTCCCATTACTATATTCATCACAAGAAAGATGCAACTGTTACGTAACATTCCAGTTTTATGAAACTGATTACCGGTGCCATCCTAAACAAAAATTATACACTTCTTATCCCATTTACTTCTGTAGACTTAGAAGGGTGTAACTTTGCTTTTATCAACAGAGGCAGAAGCAAACTTCAAGTGGCAATGCAACTTAACATTTTATTTATATTTTACTTCATTTATTACCTGCCTTTCTTGCCAGTGGGGACCCAAAGTGGTTTACATCATTCTCTTCTCCTCCATTCTGACCTTTCAACAACACTGTGAATGTGTCAGGCTGAGTGTGTGTGACTGGCCCAAAGTCACCCAGCGTTCTGTCAGGGCAGAGTGAAGATTGGAGCCTGGTCAGACACTCTAACCACTACACCACACTGGCTCGATGAATAATTGAAAAGCAAAACATCCCAATCCAGGGTGCTTATGCCCTTGTGATAAGAAAAAAACAATAGTTACGTGGAAAGTACTGGTGGAAGGGAATACATGGACTCATTGATCTCTCCCTTTCCCCATGAAAAAGGTGATTAGCTTTGTGAGGGGAGAAAGGTGGCAGTTTCACACACGCTAAATGACACATGCACTTTCAGTGCACTTTGCAACCGGATTTTACTGTGTGAAATGGCAAAATCGACTTGCAAATGGTCACCGAAATGGATTGAAATGGCATTATTTAGCATGTGTGAAAGTGCCCAGTGCTGATCACATCTTAAGGGAGTGCATACTTTTACTGAATGAATCATTAAATTATGGAATACACTGGAAGTAGAGATGGCTTTAAAATGGGATTAGAGAGATTTGTGGAGAACAGGTTCATTAATGCCTACTGGCCATGATGATTAAGGGGAAACTCAACATTCAGATACAATAAACTTCTGAATGCCAGTGCTAGGAGGCAATACTGGGGAAGATCTTGGCCTCCATGCCCTGTTTATTAGCCTGCCAGAGCAACTAGTTGGCTGCTGAACAAACTTTGAGTCTGGTGGCACCTTTAAGACCAACAAAGTTTTATTCAAGGTGTGAGCTTTTGTGTGCATGCACGCTTCCTCAGATACACACGTGCAAGAAAAGCTCATACCTTGAATAAAACTTTGTTGGTGTTAAAGGTGCCGCTGGACTCAAACTTCGTTCTGCTGCTTCAGACCAGCACAGCTGCCTACCTGGATCTATCTTCATAGTTGGCTGCTGTGTGACGTAGGATGCTAAACTAGATGGACCACTGTTCTCATCCAGCAGGGTTGCTCTTATTTCTTATTGCTCTGTCCCTTAAGTAATTGTTAGTGGTTTTGCAGATCCTGTTAGGAAAGCCAGGGTAAAAGTATTCTTCTGTTAAAAATATTTAAATAAATACCACCACTATCATCCAAGCAGGTTATGAGCCAGTCTTCTTGTTTTGTACTAACCAGTAGATTTATTAATATGCAGGAAAGGGTGTGACTGTTTCACTTCTTTGCTATCTTTGCTTCTAGTTTTCAGTAGACCCTCCCCCACATGGCATCAGTTTTAACTAACCCAGTGATCATCAGACAACTTCTTAAAGAGCAAGTTTGAAGATCTATTTTCCAAATGAATTGTATAATAGAGCCACAATTCTTTTCATTTTATACATAGGATTCAAGAAACCTTGCTATTGTTTTCAGGGCTATTTTTGGGCAGGAACCCACAGGAACGGAGTTCCGGCTGGCTCCTGAGTTGGCCACGCCCAGCAGGAACTCATTAGCACAACAGGCCACACCTAACAGCAGACACTCATTAGGATTGGCTACATTAGGGGTGTGTGGCCTAACATGCAAAGAAGTCCCTGCTGCAAAAAAAGCCCAGGGTTTTGACAACAAACAGAATAAGAAGCAAAAGGTAGGTGTGGTTGGATGGCCACACTTCTGGTAACATGTGGGGTGTGGCCTAATATGCTAATGAGCTGTGCTTTCAGGGGTGTGGCCTAATATGCTAATGTGTTTCTGCTGTTGGGTGTGGCTTAATATGCTAATGAGTTCCTGCTGGGCTTTTTCTACAAAAAAAGCCCGGAGTTATTCTAATACATGTATATATTTCTTCTAGCATGCTCTCATATAGGTCTGTTGACATCAGGAAAAGTCTTCAGCTGGAGGAACTGCTTGCTAGGGAACAACTGGAGTATACAATAGAAGAAGAGGTTGCCAAACAGACCATACGCATGTGGTTGAAGAAGTGCTTAAAACGTATTAGAGCTGTAAGTTTAATTAAGGGTAATAGTAGAAAAAAAATTATCATACCTGTTTAAGTATTTCTCCTTATGAGGTCATGATGCCTAGTTTTTATATCTGTATACATATAAAAGAGTTGTCATTTGCTTTTGCAAAGTCTTGCATTTTTCATAATTCCTGATTTCCTCAGGTATCCAACATTTAGTGAACAGGGTCATTTGATGATGATTACTAGATTTAATAGATAAGGGCTGGCCTCAGAACAAATAGCAAAATCTGAGCAATAGAACCAGCCCTGGCAGGGGTGTCAAATCTAAGGCCCATGGGCCGGAACTGGCCTACCAAGGGCTTCAATCAGCCTTGCGGCTTTCTCCATCCACACCCCGTCCCCTTCCTGTCCTCACCCTTCTGAGGGAGATCGGGGCTGCTGAATTTCCCAGCTGGCTGGACATTGTCTTCACAGGTTTCTCCTCCATCAGGAAGCTTCTCTGGGCTAAAGCATAAAACAAGTTGCAAAGAAAATGCAGAGTGGATTTTCCTTTACGGTGCCTGGGCCCAGATAGACTACTCTGGGACTGGAATGACAGCCCCCAGAGTGGAATGATGGTCCCTGGGAGTAGCGGCTGTCATTCCAGTCCCATAATAGTATATCTGGGCCCAGAAACCTTAATGGAAAATCCATTCCACATTTTCTTTGCAATTTTTTTGAGCTGCAATGTATTTCAATGGAGTGGAGTTTCAATTTCCAGTGTTTGTATGCCAGTTGAAGGGCTGATGTTTTGAGTTAGCTTGTCTCTGCTGAATGAACCTGAGAATGGGTGCCTGAGTGACTACTCTAACCTGGGAACCCACAGCCAAAGGGGGACATTACACTGGAGAGCCACTGCCACTCTGAGTAGACCGGGGGGTGGGGGGAGCTTTCAATCCCTGTCATTTCATGTTTTCCTAGGCTGAGAGCATTCTATATTTTTAGTTTTAGCTTCTGCTGTGATCCTTGTGCTTTTTCTTGATATTTTAATTAAAAATTGCATTGCCAAATCCAACTATCCCCCCACCTTTCCATTTTCGGTAGACATCTTTTAAGGGGGGGGAGGTTTGGGAGGTGTCAGTTATCAAAGACTGTTAAGTAAAATATGGCAAGTGTTACTGTTTTAAGCATGTTTGTATTTTAAGTCTATGTGTAGCTTTGGCTCAGATATTTCATCGTGCACACCTTCTACTTGTGACTATACTCAAAGCCTACATTTCTAACAAGAATTTTGGGCACTATAGTTTTTATAAATTCTTGCTCAAGAACACAAAGTTGAGGAGTTTCATGTCTTAGACATCCTGCAGGCAATGAAGGGTTCTGAGCTCAAAAGTCTTCATTGCAAACAGGAAACTATGGGAACACAGGATGAAACCTATGCTTTTACCAGTTTTCCTTGTTGTTGCATTCCCCCTACTCAATACAGTCTGGGAAAAGTTATTGGTTAAGCAACAAGGTAGCTATATGCCTGTTTCAGAAAACGTTTTCTGGCAATTATGTGCAGGATTGTATTATGTTTCCTCTTTTACTGATACTACTTTCTGGAAGAAGGAATGCTTTAATCTTTTGGACTTGTTAGATGGAAGTACTGCCAGAGTATTGAAAGCCTGTGTGAACTGATATTCAGTGATATTGACATGGATTGTACAAATGTTGGTCTAAAGAATGCCCACCCATGTGGTGGAGATAGTTTGTAAACACCAACTTCTGTCAGTGTGAGGAGGGACTTGCCCCTTCCCCAATTTTTGTAGTCTTTTTACACTTTGGTATTCATTTAAGCTGTTTGGTATTCATTTGATGATGTTATGAAATTTGCAGAAGGGAAGGAGGAAAGAAAAAGATTTTCCCATTGCAAAATTTCTTTGGATTTTGGATTTATCCCTGTACTTCCCATAGAGGACACTTTCTAGCTCATGTGGGGGATGTTTAGAATTTAAATATATCCCTTTAAGTATACGGTGTCATGATACATTAAAATCAGCACAACATGAGAACTGCACTTCATCGTTTTTAGAAGAGTCTGTATTATCATACTGTTAATCTTATATAGTATCTAATTTAAAAGCAACTAAGACTAATTTACTTTAATAGCCTGTGGATAAGCTCTATAAATACTTATTTCTTCTAAATGATCATTTTCTTTAATTGTCACTTTGGCTGGTCTCACAAGGCAGATTTAATTTTACTCCAATGGGCTGTGTGTATATATAGGTTTAAAACTTTAAAAAGATAGGCAGTCCCATCTTTTTCCCTACCACTGCTAATAGGAATTCAAGGGTATAGGGTGATTTCTCTCAGGGAAATGAAGCAAGAGGAATGAGGCATAGTTTCTTCTAAAGAAAAGTAAATGTGTCTGGAGACTGGATCACCGTTGTCCAAAAATCCCATTTGTTTTCTTCTTTTTACAAAGAAAAAAAATTAAATGTGAAAATTAGGAACGAAGCGAAATTGTTGAAGAATATATTTTAAAGACATGGAAATGTTGTTATATTGTATTTTTATAGAAACAGCAACAGTCATGCAGTATTATCCATAGTCTCCGAGAGAGTCAACAGCAAGAGCTTAGCCGGTTCTTAAATCCACCAAGCATTGAGACAACACAACCAAGTGAAGATCTGAATGCTAACAATCAAGACAATGCACAACCTGAGGTAAAGTCCTTTTTCTAAAAATCAAGCTTATGCCTGAATTCTCACATGGGTAAGGTTAAAATTCTTTATTTCTCTGGGTTCTGCAGGATGTGTAGAAGTGTCCACATCCACACTAGCTTCAAGTCCAAACCAGCGTTATTTCACTAGTTTACTGTGACCAGTGTGAGACTCTCAGCCAAACTACATAATGATCTAGAAATAAGATATCCTAACAGTGTGCATTGTGATTAGTGTTACATTAAATTAATATTATATTCATGATTAATAGAATCATTCTGTGATACAGAACCAATAAAATAAGAACCAATAGGGAAAAGGTATTGCTTGTTCATTACTCCCTTACTCCCTTTTCTAAGATTCATTAATTAAAGATTGATTGATTATCTTAGAGCTATATTAATGGATCCCCCCCCTTTTCTATTCAGACAAGTAGTCAACAGCAGCTCCTTAGCCCAACACTTTCAGACAGAGGTGGGTATCGGCAAGACTCTACTGAAGCTGGTAAACCTCAGCGGAAGTTTGGACAATGGCGTTTGCCTTCAGGTAGGTGAAGGTAATCTTTAGAGAAGAAGATGAAACCTCCAATTGGACTTGGAATGGGTACCTCTATATAAGAATAGATTATTATCATAAGGATGGTGAAGATATATACCCGCTAGGAGAGAGGAGATGAACAGAGGCTTCTCTCTTTTTCTGTTCCACCTCCACTACAGACCTCTAAAGCATTTCACACTTTTCTGATAAATCCACATACTCCTGTTAGATTGGAGAGGATTCCAGAGCCTGTTCGGGGTCCAGAGAGTTCCATACCTACCGGGCATACACATGCAAACACAAAGTATGCTGTACTGCATGCAAACACAAACTATGCTGTACTGAAGCAGATTTCAAACTTTAGCAACCCTTATTGTAAAGACCCCACATTCTGATTTTTAACATTTTTCAGATCCCCAAGAACTGCCTTCCTCCACAGGCTAACATTGGGCAGTCCCTATTCAAAGACTGTACAGAAAGCCACATGTGATCCATGGCAGCAATGCTGCAGATAAGTTCACCAGATGAACTTTAATAATCACAACTGATGGATGTAATAGTTCAGGATCTACAGATAAAGACAACAAAAATAGGCAAGTTTAATTTGAACAGCAGCAAAGTCGCCTGTTCTATGCCCATTGACTTGAAGGGATAAGAAAGGTGCAATTCTGCTTAGGACGGCAGTGTGAAACAAATTCTGCTTAGGATGGCAGTGTGAAACAGATTGTACAGTATTATCTAGGCCTTGTTCTATAATAAACTAAGGCCATATGATCTTAGTGCAGCTGCAAGTTTATTTTATTTATTTATTTATTTATTTATTTTTGGGATTTATATCCCGCCCCATCCAATATACAGCTCGGGGCGGCTAACAAACGGCCATGCCGAAGTTAAAATATGCATACAAACAACAGCATAATAAAAACACTATATCTTGACATAAAAATTTGGTGCTTTGATAATTTACATAAATTCCAAGATAGGCAACGTCCCACACTGGCGGCCAAGTTCTTCACAGCAGGAGCGCCAGGAAGAATGTTTCTCCAGCTCTATTGGGCGACATCTATCCCCACTATGTGGGGTAGATGGTTGGAATATCATTGGTGGAATAGTGGCGGCGGCGGTGGCTCCCCCTCAAAGGCCTGGCGGAAGAGCTCCATCTTGCAGGCCCTGCGGAACTGCACTAGGTCCCGCAGGGCCGGGATCTCCTCCGGGAGCTCATTCCACCAGGTGGGAGCCGCCACCGAGAACCCCCTAGCCCTGGTTTGGGTCAACTTCACTTCCCGGGGGCTTGGAACACTATTCCCTAACACTATTAAATATTTGGGAATGTGTCTAGATTATAAATTCTGTCCCACAGTGATCAAAGTCAAAGATCATGTTACGGTTGTATAAATGAATAGAAACAAGAAGAAGAGGAGGAGGAGGAGGAGGAGGAGGAGGAGATGATGATGATGGTGGTGGTGGTGGTGGTGGTGGTGGTGGTGATGATGATGATGATGGAGATTGGATTTATACCCCACCCTTCACTCGGAGTCTCAGAGCAGCTTACAAACTCCTTTCCCTTCCCCTCCCCACAACAGACACCTTGTGAGGTGGGTGGGGCTGAGAGACCTCTTTCAATTACTGCCCTTTCAAGGACAGCTCTTGTCAGAACAATGGCTTGCCCAAGGTCATCCAGCAGTTGCAAGTGGAGGAGTAGGGAATCAAACCTGGTTCTCCCAGATTAGAGTCCACGCACTTAACCACTACACCAAACTGGCTCTCTACAAGAGACAATAGATGTCAAGACAAAAAATAATGTGACGGTTTTATTATTCGGGTTCTAGAAACTCTTAAGCACATGGTTCCTTCCATATGGTGTTCCTGCTGCAGCAGGTTGGGTTTTTTAAATTCTCTGATATTGCACTTCTGTGGACCTTTAGGGGTTTCTTGAGATGTGCAGTTTTCCCCAGCCATTCTTTGGATTTGATGAAAGTGTGGACAGGAAAGTACTGATTTTTATACCTCCCATCCACACCGGGTACCATTTTTCTTCGTACTCACTGTTTAAGAACATAAGAGATGCCAATGTTGGATCAGGCCAAAGGCCCATCCAGTCCAACACTCTGTATCACACAGTGGCCAGAAATACCAGTGCCATCAGGAGGTCCACCAGTGGGGCCAGGACATTAGAAGCCATCCCACTGTTGACCCCCCCAAGCACCAAGATGACAGAGCATCACTTGCTCTAGAGTCCCTATCTATACCTTGTGGCTAAAAGCCACTGATGGACCTCTGCTCCATATGCTTATCTAATTCCCTTTTGAAGCCGTCCATGCTTGTAGCTGCCACCACTTCCTGTGGCAGTGAATTCCAAGTGTTAATCATTCTTTGAGTGAAGAAGTACTTCCTTTACTCACCACCACTACCATCGGTGGGGCTTTTTGCCTTTTTTATTGTTAGTACTAAAACACAACAGTGATATACCTACCAATTTTTTAAAAAAAAATGCAAAAGACCACTGGAGGGGGGTGAGGAGGCTTGAGAGGAAAGTACAGAAAATCATCCTGGGTGGAAAAATACCAGTGACCCTGCAGAGAGCCAGTTTGGTGTAGTGGTTAGGAGCGCGGACACTAATCTGGGAGAACTCCTCCACTCCTCCACATGCAGCTGCTGGTGTGATCTTGGGTCAGTTGCAAGTTATTTCAGAGCTGTTCTCTCACAAGCAGTTCTCAAAAGACCTCTCACAGCCCCACCTACCCCACAGGGTTGTCTGTTGTGGGGAGGGGAAGGGAAAGGAGATTGTAAGCCACTCTCCTTTGGGTAGTGAAGGGTGGGGTATAAATCCGATGTCCTCTTCTCTTCTTCTGTGTGATTAAGTAGATATCAGTAACTGAGGCTAAGTGTGAGTTCCAGTTCTGTGCTGGGTACAAAAGTAAATATGTAGTGGACCCAGGGTCGGTTGTGTTAAAATTACTGTTTGGTCTGGTTTACATAAATCAGTTCATCTTTAAGGCATTTAAATATGTGACACTAGAAGAGGTTTGTTTGTTTAAAAATCACATTTTAATTCATATGTAAAACCTATATTCTGCAAAATAGACTTGATATTGTTGGTCTGTTGATTGCATCCATTACAACTGGAATGGTATGCTTCCCCAATGATATATGAGTGAGTTGGTTTTGTCTCTTGTTTAGTTCTGTTTTGTTTTGTTTTTTATCTAGAACAAGCTCCTGCTTGCTTAGTTCTGTCTGTTAGCTGTAAGTATAGACTGCATTAGTTCCCTCGTTCCTTCCATCCCTGTATTTCCCTGTTAACAAACAGATGTTTTGAGCACACCCATCTGTGCTGTAGGAAACTGTATGAGTAATCGAATTGTGACTTACAAGTAGAAGAGAATACTACAAGTATAAATATTGTTCATGTAGGACAGAAGAACAAGAACAATGTTGAAAGCAGCACAGAAATAGCACTTCAAGCACGTGTAATGTTTAAAGTTTCAAAGATGTTTGTTTTATTGAGTGTGAAACCTTTTCCTCTGTGTGAAAGCATCCTGACACTTATAGATAGAAAGGTAAGGTGGTAGCTAAGTAAAACATGCACAGTAACCAGTCATTGTTCTATTTAATGTCCTAGCCCCAAAGCCAATAAGCCATTCGGTGTCTTCAGTCAATTTACGGTTTGGTGGCCGTACAACTATGAAGTCTGTGGTGTGCAAGATGAATCCCATGTCAGACGTGGCTTCTTGTGGATCAGAAGTCAAGAAATGGTGGACAAGGCAGCTGACTGTGGAGAGTGACGAGAGCGGAGAAGACCTGCTTGATATCTGATGGGGAAGAGATACCAACTGAAGTCGCACTTATGCAATGTAATTTTGGAATGAAATCCATTTTTTCCCTTGTTTTTAAATGGAAGATCTGGTTGACCTCACCCATTTATGAAAAAGATAAGTCTTTGGACTCACTGTCCTTCAAGTCGATAAGATATTCCACTTACTAATTCTTTGGCATCTGATCTGTGTGATGATCATTCATGTAAAGGAAATTAACAAATAGTTACAAGGTTCACTAAAAACAAAAAGTATATGGCTCAAACCTTAAGTCATATGACTGCTTCTGGGCAATATAGTAAGGTAAATGGGGCAGGGCCCCACCAACTCCAGCTGCCCTCAGCTTCATCCAGCCTGCCTTCTTTACTGTCTAGAGAGTGGCAGACTGCCCGTTCTATGGTCAGTCTCTCTCCTGTCTTTGCTTTGACTCAGCACTGCAGGCAAGAAAATCCCTCCCAACAGAGGCTGAGTGCTTCCCTCCCTTTTTTAGAGGCCCATCCACCTCAGTACTCAAACTGAGATTGAAAAGTATGTAGACGGAGAGTGATTTCAGCTAAGCATACCTTTATTTAGTTCAGGACAAAGACGAAGGGACCAGCTCGCAGGCTGGTTATATAGGTTCAGAAAACCCGCCACCAAGTACACCTAAACACACCCCCTACTCCCGATAGGCTATTTACAGTAACCGGGCGACCATTGGTCTCCCGGCTGAGAAGCTGGCCCTTTGATTGGGCCGGCTAGGATCCTACGGACCCATTGTCTTTGGACATGAAGCTATTGAAGAGTTGTGCCTGGCCAGCCCGGGCAAGTCCGGGCATGTCAGGCTGAATACATTACAGAGATCTCCCTTTTTATTGCAGAAAGCTCACTCTTACGATTCGCGTGTAGAGTAATGGGCTTTGTAGGAAAGGGTTGGGGGATGTGGCAGGATTTCTTTCTTGATCTGGGTAATCTTACTGTTGTTGCAAGCATTAGCAAAAGGAGAAGTTGTATTAGGTTGGCAACTGCAGAAGTGTTAAGGAACTGTACCACGGGGCATAAATGATTGTGGTATCATTGCACAAAAGCAGACATAGTTGCTTCTGTCTGCCCACTGACCATCCTGCCTTCCACCACTCCCAGTGCAGCATGGGTACCAGCTGCCACTGATTCTTGGTTCTTTCATTCATTCATTCATTCAGCATCCTTTGTGCCACATTGCCAGATTCTTTTTAGGATCTTTAGGGGAATCTGTGCAATGGGTTTGCAGTATAGCATGGCAAACAGTTATTGGGGGGGGGGGTTAAGTGGATACACCCAAGCATTTCTAAACACTTAAAGAAATGTGCTGGGTTGAAACTTGGTATCTGAGAAATTTCACATGAAATTAATTTGTAATGAAGTATGTATTTCTGTCCCAATCAGAATTTTCGCCTGGAAATGATCACCATGCAGGATACAAGAACAATTCAAAGAAAAAATGCTTACTGGTCCTCAGTTTATCCAATACAGATATTGCCAAATGACCTGCAAGGACCTGTGGCAGGAAATCTGGTTTTTTTACCATATACAAATCCTGACTTCAAAAGCTACGTTTTGTTTTCAATATGCAAGACATAGGATAGTTTGTTTCAAACTCAAAAATGATAGATTTGTTTTATATTCCATTTTTTATCAAACAACTTAACTGTGACGTGCGCGTTCCTTGCACATGTGCCCACCGAACAGGTTTCCAGGACACACCTCTTTGTTAGTAAAAATCTCTCCTTAAGGCTGAGATGGAGAATGCCAGGTTGGGCCTGGATTCAGCTCACCCTTCCATAACAACTCTTTCCAAACAAGTGATTGGTGTTTTCAGAGACGAGCCCTTTGGCCATCTTGAAGGATGGAGATGCGGAACTAATCTAGCAAGGCTGAGATGCTTGATGGGGTTGTACAGCATTGTTCTCATACACGGAATGCATTCAGAAAGGTCACTCACAGAAGCTTGCTTCTGCGTTTGATTGTCCTTGATGAAAGTAAATATCTTTCATTAGGGGAGGCTCAAGGATCTTATGATTCACTGTGTAAAAAAAAATCACCACTGTGTTCTAGTTCTGAAGTACTTTAATCATGCAATGCTGACATTTATGTTATGCCTTTATTGACTTCCCTGTCCTTATTTACACTGCAGCTTTTTTTTTAGGAACGTGTGATGCTAACTGTTGTGCTATGGGGAAAACAAAACACATTGCAATTCTAAAAAATTGTTAGATGTTTGATGTGAACTCTGTTGTGTCCATAACCCTAAGAATGCACGGTTGTGCTAACATCAGACAAGCCTCACTATGTGACAGAGGATTATAGATGTGCTCTTCTGGTCCTTTTACCTTGGTCTTTGGGGACCCCTCAGGCCTGGCAGGGTCTATCCCAGACCCACTTCTCTGGCTCATATGTCCTGTCCTCTGGGTTTCCCAGAACCACTGAAGGTCCACAAGCTTGTGAAGGCCCATATCTGCCTCTGTCAACAGGAAAGTGCCCTACTGAGATGATTTATTTAATGGCCTGTTCAGGATAGACCTGAAGATATATCAAGGCCCTAAAGGACAGTCAGAGGAAGAATTTCTTTCAACCAAAAACAATCCCTGAACTGGAAATGAGTGTCCCAAGCATCCACCTGTTGACAAAAGAGCAATGTGACCTGTCCAGAAAAACAACCACTGTCCCACTGCATTCACCAAATTTGCTTAGAAACAAATTTTTGGAGATCACCTCTTTTTACTACCTCTGACTCCCCCTCATAAATTAAAAACCACACCGGTTTGTGAATATGTAAAATGGATGGGGTAAGAATCCCCACCTGAGTTTGCAGCAGATTAAGTCTAATCTCCTACTCCAAAATTAAGGTTTACAAAGTGATGACATTGGACAGTGCACCAAAGCTATTGATCCCACCAGGAGGCAGAGGTAGAGCAGAATTCCTCTGTATGTACATTTACAATTGCTGCTCAAGAGATGTCAAGACCGTAGCACAAGTCAGGGCAAGAGAGCCAGTTTGGTGTAGTGGTTAAGAGTGTGGACTCTAATCCGGGAGAACCGGGTTTGATTCCCCATTCATCCATGTACAGCTGCTGACTTTGGGTCAGTCATACGTTCTTTCAGAGCTGTTCTCTCATGGACAGTTTCTGTCAAGAGTTCTCTCAGCCCCACCTACCTCACAGGGTGTCTGTTGCGGGAAGGGGAAGGGATTGTAAACCACTCTGAGACTCCCTTGGGTAGTGAAGGGCGGGGTATAAATCCAATCTCCTCTCCTCTTAATTTATTTCAGCATTTCAGAGTTCAGCCATTCTTCATTTTGCGTGATGTCGAAAGAACAGCATGCCACTTCTCTGGCAAAGTTAATAGACTAAATAAAGGCCTTGAAAG